TACATCAGAAATGATCTGATTGTGCTTATAGAAAACTGATTCAGGAATCAAATTAGTTTAATATAGTTTGATCCAAAAGATAATTAAAAGATATAGTTGGTATATAGTTTCCGTGGGTTCACAGGTATCAAATTTGAAATATGAAAAATGATAAGGTTTACTGTGTTGCGTTATATGAGGTACATAAGTAGTTTGTAAATCCAGTTTATTGAAAGATAGATGAACTTTCCAACTATAATCAGTAAAATCTTGTTTGATCTGTTTTTAATGACCTTAAATTGTTTTTGTGGCAGGACCTCAAGGGCGAGAAAGGGGACAAGGGAACCATGGGAAAATCCGGACCTCCTGGACTCTCAGTAGGTCACTCAGAGCCATGTTGTTCCCTTGAAACATAAAGTAGAACCTTAGTGCATATTTTGATGTATGACCTATGTTTAAAGCTTAATATTAGTTAAAGCACAATATTTTACTACAGAGGTCATGAATATACTAGAATTATTTTATGGCCACTTCTAGCTGAAATCCTCACATTGTTTTGCGTGTACCCAATGGCACCCATCTTATGATTTATCTTCAGCATCTGGTTTCTCAGCATCTGTTTTTAAATTAATACTCATAAATAAGCTTTCCCTCTTAGATGACCCATCATTTGAACATTTTTAAATACAGGAGAATAATCAGAAGGGGGAAAATTAATAAAAACCAATGTTAAGTCAAAAATCAATAATTCATAAAACTTGACCTAACTCTAATTAATACAGGGACCACCTGGAGAATCTTATGGATCTGAAAAAGGTGCTCCCGGAGAACCTGGTCCACAGGTACGTTTGGATATCCAATGTCTTGTGCAGCCTGTATTAGTCAGTACTCAGGACTCTGTAGGTTGCAAGGATAAAATGCCCAACTCAAACTAGCTTAGATTTTTAAAAAATTTTTTAAAGATCTAGGGAGTGGAACCTATTTGTTCAACTATCTGAGAAATTCAAGGCTAAAACAGGCTTCAAGAACTTTAGAACCTGAAACAGTATGAGCAAGACTTTCTCTCCATTTCACTACTGCTTCTCTCTGTGTGTCAATCAGCCTCATTCTCTCCTTTGACAAATGATTCTCTTCCATGTTAGGGGGTGATGGGGAGAAAGCATGGGATGCAGCAGCAGACCACTTCAGGTTAATGTCATTTCAGGAGAGAGAATGTTCCATATATAAAATCCCAAAGACTTGCTCTGATTGGCAAGTCTCTTGCTCTGATCAGCTGGGTCTCACTCTGGAAAAGTCACTGTGGCCAGAAGGAAAAGGTATCATGGTTGGCCAGGCCAGTGGGGCGGGGAGCTTCTGTGACTGCAGTCCCATGAGAACCACACAGAGTGAGGCAGGGGAAGCTCCCCAAAGGAAATGGACCATGCTGTGATGAGAAGTGGGATGCTGGGAGGACGGAAGCAACAGGGGCCCGCTCCCCCACCCAGCTCTATTTTGGAAAGATTTAAACACATGTATTGTTTTAAAACTCTAAAAATTATACATTGGAAAAGTAAATTTTTTTCTAAGAAAAAAATTCAACCAATATGATTTTTAATTCTATCATCAAGGGTAAATACTATCATAGTTCATCCAAAAGCCTTGTCTGTTTGGACAATGCAGTATAGCTTTATGCATATATTTAAATATAGGCACAACTGTAGTTTAGGGAATTCTCAACATTTCAAATAAATTAATTCATTGTTACCACCTCTCTTTGTAGATTTCCTTGTACATGTCTCTGCTCAGTGCTTCCTTGATTTTCCTTCCAAACTTGAACGGACAGCATCAACTCTAGTTTAAGATTAGCTCGTAATTCCCTCTCTTTCTTCCTTTGACTCTCCCTGATTTCCCATTCTGACTGCCTTGTGCCTTTCCTGGCAAGGGAAGGTCATCCATGTTCTGTTATTAATAGATTTTCCTTCTAACAAGTGGATGGGGAACCTCATTCAGAATTTCTTGCTTGAGATAAAGAGCAGATAATCATATCTTTTGTTTTCCATGTTTATCAAAATTATCCATATTTATTAAATTACATGTTTTTGTTTTATTTTCATTTTAGGGAAAACCAGGAAAAGAAGGTGCTCCTGGGTTCCCTGGCACTCAGGTGAAGACATGGTTTGGCCCACTGATGTCATGAAAATGTCAGTCCTGTTAGACGAAGAAGGATTTTTGAGAGTCACTACGTAGTTATAAACTAATAAAAAGCATATAGATTTTAAGAATTACATTTGGGAATCACAGTTTTACACTCTTACTGTGAAGAGAGGTCCACTGAGCACATTTTTTTTTCCAAAAAGGAGTTCAAACTGTTCTGCTTCCTACAAAAGAAATTGATGAGTGTGTCTCCTCACCCATTCTCTTTTCTCTTCTCTTTAGGGAGCCAAAGGCAACAGAGGCTTCCCTGGGTTAACTGGTGAAGACGGCATTAAGGTAAGCCTCTCCTTAACATCCTATCTTCAGCCTATCAATCAGTTGGGTTTTGCCCATGCTTTTCGTTCATGCCCTGGAACTAGGTAAAGTAATTTCAATCAGAGTTCATTAAAATACCTTAATGTATTTGTTAAGAATAAATGAGAGATGTGGCGACTTAAAACACTTGAAGGGCAGTCTTGTGGAAAAGCTATTAAACTTGTTCTGTGTAGTAGAGCTGCCTGACTTAGGACCAGTGAGATTTCAGCTCCCCACAAGGAAGGAGTGGGAAAAGGCCTAAAATTGTAGGAAGTTTCAGGTCATTTGAAGTCAAACGCAGGTTGGACCCCATGAGTCTCAACCTGTGTCACGATACACTGAAAGGTCATCATCAATTAATTGTGAACTGTAATTCAAATCATTTGTTTCTGACAAATGTTACAGACATCTTCAAATAATGTTCATATGTAGTGTATGTGCAGATTCAAGGTTTATCCTATAATAATATCACTTCCTATAGAATTCTGAGTAGATAAGAAAGGGGGTTGGTTATGGTTGGGACACTGGGAATTGTGTACAACCCACAGCCTGGTTTTCCTGTGCCTCTACTCTGGGTGGGAACATGGGAGTCTGCAATGATGTGAGCATCACTGGATGGTAGTGGCATGGAGCAAACCTGGAGAATCAGTGGAACAACAACCACTTCTTCAGGACCTTGTTGATAGGATCATTGACCCAGATATGACCCTCCAGGAAAATAATTTAAAGCCAATGACCCTTTCACTTTAACTTGCTTTGTACATTACATTGAAATAACTCTACTTTTAGCACTGATTTATTACTTGTGCATTTTGCTTTTTAAGTATGCCAGATATGTACTCCTAATTTGCATCTGTCTTTCAACACAGGGGTGGAAAGGGGACATTGGCCCTCCAGGATTTCGTGGTCCAGTAAGTGTAATTAAAGACAATATCAGTGTCATGTTTGATCAAGTCCTTCAAAGTATCAAGGAAATTTTGAATCTAAGTCTTTCATTAAATGTTGTGATGGAGATTATAGCATTTACCTTTTTATCAAACCGGGGAAAAGATAGCTGTTGTCATTATTTGTCCATTTCACAATGGACAAATGTTTCTATTTGGTCCTACTTGGTCTCTGGAATGCACTAGTAATGCCCATCCTGGGATGGGGAGAAGAAAACCTTTGTCTAATGAGACCTGGCCCAAGGTGATCCTGCGCCCTTAAGGAGAGTGGGGGGGCTGCAGTGGAGGATAGCTGGGGCACCAGGGGCTGAGGGAGCCAGCTCCACCCCCTCCAGCAGGCCCAGTTATGACGACTCCTGCTCTTTCAGGCAGCAGAAACTCAACCATGGGTTTAGTGCAGAGCCAGCAACAACCAGTCCCTTCAGCCCAGCTCCATCGCAGCAGGCAGTCTCCCCTCTCGAGCCTGGATGTGGATGTGATGTCTGTCAGCTCCTGACTGCAGGGTGGACACATTCTATACAGTGACTCTGGAGCTTAAGGAGATGAGTAAAAGGGACCCAGGCTCCGAGTTCTGGTATCCTTTCTTCTCCTGCCTCAAAAGAGAGCGGTTCTCCCATTCAGGGTGCTCAGCAGGGCTGCAGTTCCACAGAAAGTTCCATGGTGGCAAAAGAGTAGGGGACGGGGCGGGGGGGCTCCCATTACAATGTATTTCTGACCTCTCAGCCTAAGTAAGTTAACTCAGTAACTAGAGGAGGGTCCCAGAAATCTGCATCTTTACACGACAAGCGAAGGATTTAGATGCAAGCAGTCCCAAAAAGCTTTTAGGGAGTTGTCGGGAGGATGAAACGGGCTATTTTCTGAAAGCACTTAGCAGAGTGGCCAAGACTCAGCAGGTGCACACAGGTCATTATAGATTTTATGATGGAGATTATTACGTTATTATATTACTCTGAATTGTTTTTTGTGATTTTATATATATTGCTTAACCACAAAGCTCTTGTTATCTCATCTTCAAATGTCAACAATGTAAATTGGCCCCATGCAGCGTATGAAAAAAACAAGAGTTCTTTTTTTTTAAAGATTGGCACCATGAGCTAACATCCGTTGCCAATCTTCTTTTTCTTTTCCTTTCTCCCCAAAGCCCGCCAGTACATAGTTGTATATTCTAGTTGTAGGTCCTTCTAGTTGAGCTATGTGGGACACCACCTCAGCATGGCCTGATGAGCGGTACCATGTCCATGCCCAGGAACTGAACCAGTGAAACCCTGGGCCACCAAATCGGAGTGTGTGAACTTAACCACTTGGTCACGGGGCCGGCCCCAAAAGAGTTGTTTTTAACTTTCATATTTCCATCTTCTTTCCTTCAAGATAAATGTACTGAATTCTGAGTGAAATCTACTTGCCAGTTGTTTCTTTCTTTTTTTTTTTTTTTTGAGGAAGATTAGCGCTGAGCTAACTGCTGCCAATCCTCCTCTTTTTGCTGGGGAAGACTGGCCCTGAGCTAACATCCATGTCCGTCTTCCTCTACTTTATATGTGGGATGCCTACCACAGCATGGCGTGCCAAGCAGTGCCATGTCCGCACCCGGGATCCAAACCGGCAAACTCTGGGCTGCTGAAGCAGAATGTGCGCACTTAACTGCTGCGCCACTGGGCCAGCCCTGCCAGTTGATTTCTGAGCATCCCTAGCTTACTGTGTGTTTTCTTATGCTCAATTCCATATAACTCTGCAGCTTCTACTAACTTCACGGAAGTTCTGCTTAGGAAGTAGATGGTTAAGGAGATTAGCAGTAGATCCATTGAGCATGTCAGAAACAATAGTCCTCGATTGTTGCAGGTCAATGGTGTCCTGAAATTTAAAGAAATAATCAATAGAGTATTTTTTGATGTTTGGGTCCCAACATACTTTGAAATAAATTAGTCTATCAGGACAAGCATTGCTAAAAAGTAAAACAGAATAGAATAAAACATATTAGAGTTGATCACATGTCATAACGGTAAGTCATTCTTTTGTGAACCTTTAATTTCTGTATACATATTCACACATACACAGATATGTACATGTATACATAAATATGAGTGTGAGAGCTGGGTCACATCATAATACATAAATGTATTTCTAATTTAAAACCCATGAATACATATCATGATACCAGAAAGGTCAACTGTTATCTTTAATTTTATCCATCCATATATACATGACTATCATATTCCAGCTAACACATAAACTGTGGATTGAGGAAAATAAGGAAATAATCATTTTGGCCAAAAAGAAGAAACTGTAATAATTGCATTTGGTGAGCTGTCCATAAACAGCTATTCTTTCTCTTTACTCATTTCTTTTTCCTTTAAGACAGAATATTACGATGCTTACCAGGAAAAGGGAGATGAAGGAATTCCAGGCCCACCAGGGCCCAAAGGAGCTCGTGGCCCACAGGGTGAGAATAAATTCCTTCCTAAAGCATTTGCTGATCATTTCCCTGTCTTTCTTTCAAGGTAATGTATAACGTGATTATAGACCCAGAATTTGCAGGGGGAGAAGGGAGGTCTCCTAATTTTCATGGGTAGGGGTATTTTTTGGTGTCTCTTAATTTTCATATTTTCATAAGAATATTTCATAGGTGATATACCATGGGAGGTAATTAAATTATCTTTATGTAGCAAAGCATGAAGTTCAAGTCTGGCAAGAATACATTAATATGTCTGGGGGGCAAGGGGAGGGAGGGAGTGTAAGAAACCCACAATCTCAGTGGGATTATAAAAGAGAAAATGGAGACCCTAAAAAGCTGTAATTTGAGCAAATCCACACAAATAGTGACAAGGAGGGACTGAAGCCTTGGTTTCCTGACTCCTGGAGCATGGATCTGTCCTTGGCACCATGAATTAAAATCATATTTATTTATATTCTACTGCTTTTGATAGGTTGAAAATGTCTAGGTCAACAACTGTCATCTCTGACTACACATTTGAATTCCCAGGAACTTCTAAATAATGACCATGTCAAGGTTACATCCCTGTGTCCTTATTTAATTGTCTGGAGGAGGGCCCTGGACACTGGCAGATCATAAAAGCTCCCTAGATTATTCTAATGTGCAGCCAGGATTGAGAACCACTGATCCAGGCAAATTATTGATATAAACAGGATTTTAAAGAAGAATTTTACTTAAAAGAGTAAAAGTTCTCAGTGTATTTAAATAAATGGACAGATAAGTACAGGCATAGACATAGATCTTTAAAAATCTGATATGCTTACTATGAATCATTCATATGTCTCAAAGCATCAGAACCCCATGCAATGTTACATCCAGAAGCAATGTGAGATGGAACACTGGCCACCTGCAGGTCCTTGACCATTCCAGCTGTTTGATTTTCTTGTATCTGAACCATCCCAGGCAAGTGCCAGACACAGGCTCTTAGTAAATCTCTGCTGAAATATTTGAAAATGATAAGATAGTGTGATTCACTTTTGAGTGTTAAACATCTAAAATTAGTTTCCTGTCTACAATTTGTCCAAATATGTGAAGTTTTCTAATACTTATCTACGTAAGAGTGGAGAAAAAGTCTAAAAAATATTTATCATTCATTATTATTATATTGTCATCCAAGATTTCAAAAATGAAGAGAAGGGAGTTATTTATATCTTCGTAAGCAATTAATCACTATCGTGTATTCATAGGTCCCAGTGGTCCCCCCGGAGTTCCTGGAAGTCCCGGTATGTACATGTTTCTTGGGGTAGCAATGAAAATGCTATTAAAAGGAAAATACACTGCTCTCTAGTATGTTTGCATTGTTTACATAAGAGAAATGTTTCATTAATTGATATAAAAGTATTTCCGGCTTTAATTGTTAACTTTGTGACCTGCAGCGGAAAAGGAAGTGGAAGCTGACATAAAGTGATATAGAAATGCCCCTTTTTACTTCTCAGTGGTTTTAACTAAGTGTAAGATAGCAACATTGGAGTCTGAGCAAAAGGTTTGAAACTCAGAGGAGGCAGAGATAGAAAATAATTTTATGTTAATTAGGTTGGTTAAATGATAGTTTTCATAATGTATCACAAGTTGCATAAGGATACAGAGATTACAGTTATACATAAAGTTTTAAGTTTTACAATATATTGTTTATGGACATATAGACAATTCCATAAAGTGTAAAAACATCCATGAGTCATTCCCATGGTTGCCTCTTGAGAGAGGAAGAATAGGATCAAGGACGATTAATCAAGGATTAATCACAGTGGCCTCAGTCATAACCATAATGACTGTAATGTGTCATGTTGTAAAGGAAACAAAACTAAGAAAAAATGGCCAAGATTCGATAAGCCCTGCCATTGATTATATTTTTCTCTATACCATATTGCATATTTAAACTATTGCATGATTTTTAAAGTGAATTGAAATTAAGCAGATTGCAGAACTATATGTATATTATAATATCATTGTTAAAAAATAGACAAATGGATTAATATTATGTGTACTTGCATATGCGTGGAAAAATATACACCAAACGTTAACAGTGGGTCTCTCTTGAAATTGGAATGATGCAAAAGTATATTTTATCGGTCTAGCCAAAGATTAAGGAAGACTTCCTTCTCCCTGCCAGGCCCCCAAGTAATGAACAGGCTCCTTTAGGAAGCCAGTGAGTGAAAATTACAAACGTCTAAAAGAGACGTCAATCAGAGAGATTTGCCTTTATGTCAAAACACTTATGCTCAATAATCAGAAATAATCAGCTATTACCCTCACTGGTTTCTTAGCCCTCTGGTGGTGAGGTCTCTCTTCTTAACAGTTAAACTGTTTGCAAGATGGAGATTCAAAACTGGCTCCCTTTTCACATCCTTGTCATCTTAGGAGGGACAGGTGAAAGGGGTTTTGTACCACCTGGCACAGCTTTTTTTGGTGAGGAAGATTGGCCCTGAGCTAACATCCATGCTCATCTTCCTCTATTTTGTATGTGGGATGCCACCACAGCATGGCTTGATGAGCAGTGTGTAGGTCCACACCTGGGATCTGAACCCCTTAACCCTGGGCCGAGGAAGCAGAGTGCACAAACTTAACCACTATGCCACTGCGCCAGCCCCTCACCATGCCCTTTTATAACTAACAATTGGCAGGAATAAAGTCCAAATACGATTTTCTCTCTTTTAAATAAAAAGACTGCAGTGCATCCCAAACTCTGGTTCAGTCCCTTGTAATAAATTACATAAATTATCTCATGGGAATGGAATGTTCGAGCTAAACTGTGATAGTTTAACAAGGCCACAAAAGAAGGAAGATAATCACTTTTTATTTTATATGCTTTACATACCTATCACTTGTGCAACTTTTATAAATAAGAATACATCATTTTTTGCAATTGAAAAATAAATATATATTAATCAGGAAAAAATTTAAAAGACACTGAAATGATTATTTTCTCCAAGGGTCATCAAGGCCTGGCCTCAGAGGAGTGCCTGGATCACCAGGCATGAAAGGAAGTAAAGGTGAACAAGGACCCCCAGGAAAGGATGCAGTGGGGCCGCCTGGGTCCCCAGGTTGTCCTGGTTCACCAGGCCCTCCAGGGTCACCGGGACCTCCAGGACCACCAGGTAGAGATGCCTAATGGGGCCCCTCTGGTGTACACTGCCCAGTGACAGATGTGTGCAAATCAGGGACAACGGACCGTACTTGCAGCTGGGCCATCAGTCTGTGTGGATCTTAGGAATCATCCTTCCCATGGTGTTTCGTTTTATTAGCCATCTGTGAAAGCAACTCTGGTGGAATGACTACTTTGCAGGTGCAGCAAAGCTTTGGCCTGAGTTTCCACAGAGGGCAGAGTGGGAGGCAGGGACAAGGGGAGTGAAGCAAGGAGGGAGTGATGGTTATCCAGTTGGCCTAAGCCAAGTGCAGCTGCTTGTTCATCCCTGGAAATCATCTTCCAAGAAGCTCTATACCTTTGTCTCAGGATAATCTGTCCCAGGGGAGAAGGAGGCAAGAATTTATCCACATGCTCCTATTTCTCATGGGTCAAAGATGTGACTGCACGGGACTGGGCTGACCCCGCTCCACCACACACATTTCCAGGCTGTCTTTGCATGGCTCCCAGGGCATCCCATGCCTTGGCATCAGCAGGGAAGCCCCAGGGCGAGAGGCTAGAGCTGTGCGGCATGAGCAGGAGGCAAAGTGCTCCCAGATGCAGTGGGTCAGAGACCTCAGAGCTGCGGCCCAGAGGACTTGAAGTGGTACCTGGCGGTTCCGATGTGGGTGTCCTTTCCACTCCCTCCACCTACAGAGCCACTTAGCATTCTATGTTGGCTAATAGGTACATAGAACCTCATGACCATGTAAGTTACTCTCTGCATTTTAAAATACCTTTCCTAGCAGGTGTCTGGGAAATCTTGTGTTTTTTAATCAACCCTCCTAATAGCCTTAAGAATCTTCTAGGTATCAGAAATTTTTTTAAAGAAAGGTAGAGATATTTATTATTTATAGACAATATGATTATAAACGCCGAAAATTCAAAAGAATAATCTGGAAAACTCTTAATACAGTCATGTGTCACTTAACGACAGAGATACGTTCTGAAAAATGCATCATTAGGCGATTTTGTTGTCGTGCAAACATCACAGAGTGTACTTACACAGACCTAGATGACATAGCCTACTACAGACCTAGGCTACATGGTACTAATCTTATAGGACCACCATTGTATATGCGGTCCATCGTTGACCAAAATGTCACTATGTGGTGCATGACTCATTAAGATAATTCAGTTAATTGCCTGGTTATGCAAGCAAGATTAAAAAATAAATAAATAAAAGCTTTCTTTTAGGCCAACAATAATTCAAGAAATTATCCCATTAATAAAAAGACA